AAGTCTGTCCCTTCCAAATGACTCCTGGGTTAAACATCTGCTAACAAATTCTTCAGTAAAAAGCCGTGCTGTAGTAAAAAAATCAAATAAAAATTATGACAAATATTATGTATTAGCATTCAGTGATGGAAATTCAGATCTTGTGCTGTACAATTCAGAGCAGGTACAGTTTTGAAATGGTAACTCAACAGAAGGTTTTTGTTCTGTAGCATTTTGAAATGTGGACGAGTTCTTGGATTTATGTGTCTCAGTAGCTGTGTAGGTCTGTTCCTCAGAATGGATGAACTCCGACACAAATGGAGTCCAAATAAACTGCTCTGGAACATCCACCTGGTATTTCATGACAGCTCACCACACCAAAATATATTCTTATTAAGTAGCTTGACTGTAAATATGAAAACTGCAACTGGCCTTAATTTGCTGCAACCAGATTTGTCAGAGACTCATTACTCTAAATATATAGGCTAGCAGTTTGTTCACTATCATGAGAGAGAGTCAGCAAACACAGTGAATCATTGAGGTAATGGGCAATCAGAGGAAGAAGACTGACAAGAATAAAAGCAGCCATAGTTTGCAGGATTATGCCTATTTATTTCATGAGCAGTACAGGGAATGTGCATCATAGGGACAGAATAATGTGAAATGTTTTAAAATAAATAATATTATTTATTAATAATAGAGTTAATAAATTTGGAATGTTTTCTAATTGCCTGCTTATTTTTCAAAATACTTGTTGTATATTGTCTTTTCAGTAGAGCAGTACGAAGAGGTAATGTAAAGGTAGCAAAGCAGAAGATAATTGAAGTTGTAGACCTCTGTAATGAACCACTGTAACTTGATTGGTTTAGAACAAGTAATCTAACTTTAAAACTGTTATGGCTGAACATGTTGTTAAACATACAGCTTTAGTATATGGAGGCATAACAACAGTAAAAATATTTTAAGTCTAAAACACAGATTGACCTTTTGTAATGTCTTTTGGGTACTCATATTCTGTGCCCAGAGCACAAAGAAGTCTGCCAGGTTATTCTGCTGGCATTAAAAATTCAGTTGTGTACTAACGTGTGGTGATCGGAATGATGCACAACAATTTGCTTTCCCTTTCTTAATTTCTTTTAACATCTTCCTCTAACACAAAACTGTTCAAATAGTGTCAAGACTTCCCAGCTGTAATGAAATTTCCAGCATTTCACTAGTTTTCACATCCTGAAAATGTTCTGATCTGTTCCTGAGTCCTTTTATGTGTGACGTTCTGCCACCCTACGTTGTTCCTCTAGGAGAAAGTGCTTCCTGCTTCAGACAGTGCAGGCCTACAGCTAATACAAGCTCTTAGTATTAGCTGCAGGGCGAAGGGCTGATACAGGGCTTGCTAGAGATAAGCCTGGGAGAGGCACGTCAATGTTTGAGGGATGGTGTGCAAGCAAGGCCCTTACTGCTGTCTCGATGGAGGTAGGAAGTGGAGACCCTTGCGGCAGCAAAGATGCAAGGGTTATTGATGTGCTTGATACCACAGAAGCCCCTGAGAAAGGGGAACTGGGGCTTCTCCCCCCAAAGAGGTG